GGGGAGACCTTGGACAACATACTGACCCTTTTTATATAATAATAAAGACTCAGTGTTTGTATTAGTCAGTACAGACTAAGTTATGTTACAGTAAAAAAAAAAAATCCCCAAATTATAACAAAGATTTGTTTCTGTAAGGGTTGGCAGGGAGTTTTGCTCCGTATTGTCTTCTAAGACTCAGACTGGTGAAGCAGCCACTGCCTAAAATACTAACAGTCACCATGGCAGAGGGAAAGAGAAAGCAGCACTTTATGAAAATTCCACCTGGAAGTGGCATGTGATTATTGCTCACATTTCATTGACAAGCAAGCCACATGAGCATCCCAATTCCAAGTGGCTGAGGAAGTGCAGTCCCCTCATGTGAAACAAAAAAATTTGTGAAAGAAAAAAATTTGTAAGACAAAAAACTTATCCAATCTCATCGGACAAATACTCATTCTAAAATCCTAAAATGTGTCTGTTTCTACCAAAGCGGACAGCATATGCCAGTGAAACAATTTGACTTTATCAAGATCCTTACAAAGTGAACCAGCATCCCTCTTGCCTTTTGAAAGTCACTTTGGATATTTACCCTTTGGTTTCTCCTGTGTGCACAGAACATGTGAAAGGAAGATTCCTTTAGGCAATGATAGGGGAAAAGAGTATGTTTAACTTTATATCTTAATAATTTTCCCCAACTCCACTGCTCCTTTAGAAGGAAAAATATATTATTTGCTATTGAGGAGTGACATTTTCTCAAATCTTAATTTTTTCTCTTTTTCTCCCCCACACATCAGGATTTGGTAACAGAAGGTCCTGACACTAGAGTTTCACTAGGAGCATCTGGAGTATACTAAAAAAGAAAGACCCTCTCTAAAGGCTCTGGACTCACACTCTTCCAGAGACCCAGGAGAGAATATTGCAAGGGTTCAGCATGGACCTCACTCTAGTTTGGGCCCAGTGAGAACTAAATGATTCTCAGCCACCAACTCTTCCCACTTTCCAACCGCCTCCTGTCCCCACATAGTGATAAGAACAGAGACTACGGTCAGTTAGGGAGTCGTGAACGAATATGGAGTAATTCAGATATGATGTCACATCATAGTGGCATTTGTCCACATAAAAATTATTATAACTTTTGCAAGTGATTCTGTAAATTTTACAAAATATGCAAAAAATGGCATTTCAAGAACTGAGATAAGTTAGATCTATTAGAAAGTTGAGCCGGGCATGGTGACTCAAGTCTGTAATCCCAGCACTTTGGAAGGCTGAGGCAAGAGTATTGCCTGAGTTCAGGGGTTCAAGGCCAGCCTAGGCAAATTGGTGGACCTCGTCTCTAATAAATCAAATAATTAGCCAGACATGGTGGTGCGCACCTGTAGTTCCAGCTACCCAAAAGGCTGAGGCAGAAGGATCACCTGAGCCCAGCAGGTCAAGGCTGCAGTGGCCGTGAGAATTCCATTGCACTCCCACCTGGGCGACCAAGTGAGACTCCAACTCAAAAAAAAAAGGAAAGCTGAGGTCCTTGAGATTCAGCAAAATCAAGTCTATTTCTTTGTTTGGTTTTTAGTTATCTAGGTCTTGTTTTTGTTTTTGTTTTTCAGCTCCTAGTTTATAATTCATAGGTCAAAACCGGGCACAAGTGGGCTTTGACCACTTAATCCAACTTTACCCATAGATTTTTCCTGTGTCTCGGGCAGCAGCTATAACGTCTCTGAATTCCAAATTTCTTATCAGAGCATGCAACAATCATGACCTGCCACAAGAAGTTGACAGAAAAGCATTTCGGATCTAGAAAACACTCTAAAATGCTTCTTAGACATAAACTGGTTCCACTGTCTTTATAGAGCCCTGATCCTAAGGAGACTTTTCCCACTCCTCCATCCTCTCTTCACCTCCTCCCACACACACGTGTGCACACTCATACTCACCTTCTCTCTTCAGTGCCCCAGTGACATCACACATCATCGAGGCTGTCCGGCCTTGGCTCTCCCCCAGTAGAACCTCCATCAACATCGTGCCTCTCACCTGAGACAGTTCGAAAGCTTCTCTTCTGAAGCTGCTGCTCTCGTCTGTCTGTCACATGAAGCTAATATGTCTTTTCACATGACAGACACCATTGTCATAGCTGGGGTAAGTCAAGTGTGTTTGCTAGCCCTTGAGAACACATGGCCATGGTGTGTGTGCTGTGAATAAGTTTGTCACATGTTCCTTTTGAAAAGGACAGACAGCGTGACTCGTTACTTCTGCCCCTGTCCTCGGAACTAGGAAGTCATACAGAATTAGAGTAGAAATTGTCATCTTTTCTCAATTGCCCCGTCCCCTTCCCCCAACTCATGAATGAAGCTGGAGGACCAGTTTTGGTTTTAAATCTCAGCTTCATTGGGGGCACGACTTGACCTTAGCATTCCTCTCACACCAGTTGTCCCGGGTGTAATTAATGCTGTCTCTGCATGTTTAGGCAATTACTGTGGTAACACGTGGTGCAGGGCTATACGCCTGCCTCAGTCAGGGCACGACGCCATGCTTGGCTCCACAGCACATATGAAGCTTGTGCCTTCATCTGGAAGCATCCATACTGTGGTCTCTCATGTACCCTCTACGTGTTTTACTGTGCAGTTATCTGCACTGAAAACAATAATTTCTCACGATGCCTGAATTATCTACCCTTCTACAATGAGGCGGTTCCTTCCTTACTGGATTAGGGTGTCCAGGACCTTAGTCCTAAAACGGATTTCACTTCTCTGGGAAGTTTCATTTTTCCTCAGCTATTGCAAACACGATCTTGCTGAATAGAGCTGAATTTTTAAGGCTGGGTTTGTGGTGTGGATTCTGATGGTTTCACGTTAGTTCAAGTCTCTGAGGACCGGTGCCAATAAATGTGAAAGGGATAACAGAAGATTGGCATACTTTTCCATTTCCACCAGGATGAAAAACTGCTATAAATTAAGTCTAACCTTAAATGTATAATCTGTCCTTGGGAGGAAAAAAAAGGGGGGGATATAGCATCTTCAAGCTCTCGGCATCCCTTACGAGAAAAAATTGGTTCTAAGGGTCTCTGATCTTGTGTTTTAGTAAAATAGAACTGCACGGCTGACTGACAGTTCTGATCTAAAGCATTTACGTTTAAGTTTTGATCTCTCTGCTTTTGATTAAAACTAATGAGCTCATTTAATTCAAAATGGGAATCTCTGATAAGAGAAATAAGGTTGATGTGATTGGATTAGAGGGGCAAATTAAACTCTTAGAGCAGAAGTTTGTGCTTATATAGTGTATTAAAAAGCTGTTGGCGTATTATGGCGTGTTAGATGATGAGAAAAATTTCATAGTAATTCATATTTAATCAGAAGAAATGAAAGTACTAAATATAACATGGCTCTGCTTTTCCCTTGAGTGATAAAAAGCTGTACATTTAAAATGACATCAGATCCATGCTCTCTAAAAAAAAAAAAAAAAAAGAAAGAAAGAAAGAAAGAAAACCATAAGAGAGACATATAAGATAGGGACACTTGTCAGGGATTCCATCACCCCAGAATACAAATGCCATAAAAATAGGAAAATATAGTCATATTAAGATTAAAATGATACAAGATAAACTCCAGACCACAAATAGCAAGATCCCTGTTATTAGAATAGCTCTCATTCTTTTTTTCATCTGAGCACCAAGCTTAATGTAGAAAATCAAGATTACTTAGCCTTAGAAATATAGGAATACATTTTATAATTTAAAAGCTTGTTTTGCCTGTTTTTCTCTATTTTTAAATAACTGTTTTCACAGATACTTAATTCTTAAATCTCTTTAAAACATACATTTCTTTATCCCTACTCCAGAGAAAATTAGTGTTAGCAGCATAGGGCTACTCAAAATAAATCCTATTTATTGTTGGACATAGTTGGTTTGGTTTTTTTTCTACTTTCAAATAAGAACAATTTAAAAATATATATAAGAAGAGTAAAATTAGACTATTTATTAGACTTTAAAACCCCAAAATTAATTTCTATGCAGAAAAAGACTTAAATGTATAAAATACCCTAGAAGCTGTTTTTAGAGAAAGCAGATTGTACATTGTCTTCTGGCCTGCTTGTATAAGGTGTTTTTAGATCAGAAAGATTGCAAACTAATTTTTGTTTCATAAGTAAAAACACATTTTACTTATTTTAAAAACATATAAAAGAAAAAGAGTAACTGTCTTGCTTAAGAGAGAAAGCTGTTATTTTCTCATATGAGAAGGAAGAAGTGAAAAAAGAGAGACTCTCCTATTGGGGAGGGGAACAAGATGCCCTTAGTGACCAGAGTGGAAAGTTGACATCGTGAGTAGTTCTTTTTTTTTTTTCCTGTCTGTAAAAAAAACAAATTTCTTCTTTTATCATTTGCCTACCGGGAGTTCCAGTAACCAAAAAGCTATCAAGGTTGGAGAGCTGCGTCTTGACCAATGTCCTCACCCTTCTGAGCTCAATCACTTGAGAAGACTTCATGCTTCTTATTCCCCACAATGAAGGAAAAACCAGCTCAGGAAGGTGAGGACACTGGTCAGGACGCAGCTGTCCAACCTTGATGGTTTTTTGGTTACTGGAACTCCCGGTAGACAAATGATAAAAGAAGGGTTTCACTGAGAGAACAAAGAGTAAGCCTTCCCCTTTACCAGAAGCATTTCTGCTTGTACCTTGGTTGATCCCATAAGTCTATGGGTCCTTCAATTTCCTGACAGTTCTCTCCATGCACACAGCCAAGCCTCAAACTGCAATTACTTACTACTAGACCCACTTAGGGAGCTGTTGGAAGTTAAAAGGCCTGAAAAGCTCTCGCTAGAAACTGGAATGAGGTTACTTTGGATACATTAATTTTTCTTTTTTATTTTCTGCAAAGTAAACATTTTCTAAATGAGGTAAATTGATTACTACTGCTCTTAGCACCCATCAGTCATTTATTTTTAGTGATCTCAAGATTGCACCTGAGCAGTAGCTGTGAGGGGCTGTGTCGAGATCTAAATCATGTCTGTCTGTATTTTTGTATTCCTCAGTGGAGTCAACCAGCCCCAGTCTGCTAACCACTGACAACACCCTTGAGCGTTCCTTTTTCATCCGAATGAAATCTACTCTGACCAAACGCGGTGTGCACATCAAATCATCAGGATATAAGGTAAGCTGGGTTCTGAGAGGGGAGACATTTCTGTCTCAGACCAATCCTAGGTGATTTGCATTGAATTTTCCAGCTGCTTTGAGTCCATATAATTAACACACATGACCTTGAGCCACCCACAGACTTCCTAGTCTCTTCCTGCCTCAAGGTCAGGGCTTCTTTACACCTCTCCTTCTCACTTCAGATATTGCGGGTGCACTAAATGCTCTCAATACCGTGTCTTGTCTTAAAACACTAGTTAATAAATATGCCAAGTGCTTCAGCACCTGCTGGAAATTCACTTTGATGGAGAAAGTGAGCCAAATTTGTATCAGTCCTTAAAATGAGTATTCTAGAACTGCCGCTTATGAGAGGTCCACCTCTCTCACTTTCCCCTTTCTGTCCATTTCTGTAACATCTTGGTCACTGAGATTTGTACATGGAGATGAGAAAATCAGGTTGAGTATTAAAAACCTTAATTTTGAAATTACAGTTCTGGAACATTCAGTCACACCTTAGCATACATAGAATACTCCACATACAGTGTATATGTTCCTCATAAGCAAACACCAAGTCTGGATTGTAGTCTGCAATATCATCATTTTAAGGTTAAGGATATCAAAGCTTTCTAATCTCAGGAAATCCCGATGTTTCAGTTACTATAGCAACATAAATTAAGACCTATGAAATTTATGAAATGCCTTTGGCCACCCAAATATTACCAGTTTTACAACACACTAACCAGTGTCTCAAACAATATTGATGATATGTGGGAGGGCACACAGAAATGGCATGTGCCGTCAGTGTGGCCAGCCTTTGTGACCTTCCCCAGTATTGGAGTTTAGAACCTCTGATATTTCAGTTCTTTAGGGTGACCACAGTGTTGTCAGGGATGGTGACAACCATTACCATCAGGCCTTAAAACCTCGTATAAGTCATCAGGAGACTAGGAGCTGTATAAGAGTCAGAGTCAGGCACTTTCTTTGACATTAATTCTTCAGAAAAACAAGAAAGCCGGTGGGAAAGCAGCCCTTCCCGAGAACGACCTTTAGCTGAGCTGTCCTCAAGTCTAAAAAGCCCACGTGGAGCATCCTTAACCTTTAGCAGGGGGTGATGCAGAGGGGAGACCACTGGGCAACTCCACCTGCAGTAGTGTTACAGAGCAGTGTGTTGGAGGAAAGAAAACAGACCCTGTCAACAGTACCATTTTGCATTTCCCTGCCTTGCTGCATTTATTAGTTGTTAACTGTGTACCATTAGCAAGTTTGGAATTCTATAAACAGACTGCAGATGTTCGAGATTATTGTTATTTTCATGCTAGAAAGACACATTCTTTGCATTGCAGATATTAGGAACCATGGTGCTTCCTTTCAACCCTCACTTTCCCGTCTCTCAGCATTCTTTCTTCAGCTTTACTTATGTTTACTGGATTGAAGGGGACATGTCCAGAAGGGAAGGAGGGTGGAAGAGATGAGATATAGTTTTAAAAAGCAGTATTTAGTATAATTGAATATTATCAGATAATTTAATTTTTGGATTAAAAATTTTTTGCTGTCATGCTACTAACTTGAGATCACAAAACTCTGCAAAATTTTGGATCTGTGAAAAAGTGAGATGTATGGGTTAAAAAAAATGGAGAAATAGAGTTTCAGTCTAGGCAAGAGATCAAGTAGTTTGTGTTCTGTTTGTTTTGCCAGACAGGCACCTCAGAGAAGCTGTTTTGGGGGCATGACCTGAAATTTAACAAGATAATATCTTAAACACTGATAGAGTATTCATTTATTTGAGAAGATGTATTGAGCACCTACTATGGGGCCTGTTCTAGATTCTGAAAACTCTGCAGTGAACAATAAGAAGTCCCTGCTTTCATAGCGGGACACTGCCAGGGGAGGAGGTGGAGCACATAGTATCAATAAGAGTACCTGACCTCAAACCAGGCAAAGTGGGGACCAAAGGGACACCCAAACTTTGCCTATACGATGACCATTTGTATACCTGATCCTGAATTGTACCCCATATGTTTAAAATAAAAATATAAATAAATGTTAAAAAAAGAAGTCCCAACTTTCATGTTGCTTACATTCTAGCAGGCAGAGAGAGACATAACGAGTAAATAAATAAAGGCGGCGATTTCAGAGAGTAATAAGTCTAACAAATGCCAGCATTAAGGAGCACTACAGTACACTGAGCATGATGTAGTTTCCATACATTAACCCTTGCAACAATCCTAAAGGAAAGTGTTTTAATTTGTTCTGTTTTACAACTAAAGAGACTAAGGCTAGAGAGTTAATTAGCATACACCACTTCACGTGGATGAACAGAGCTGGGGTTTGAACTTGGGAAGTCTAAGCTCCACACCCCAGGCACTCAACCACTAGGCTACACTGCTATGCAGATAGTAAAGAGAAGTAATGAGAGGGGAAGACTGGTGGGGCAGGAGACCGCTTTAAATAAGAGGATCACAAAAGGGGTCCCTGAGGAGGTAGATGAGAAGGGACTCTACACGCAAACAAATAGAAGAAAAATGTTTCTGAAGCTACTTGGGTTTAGGATTAAAGACACCATAGTATAAGATGGGGCCTTTCAAGAAATGAAATATTTTAAAAAGTGCAACCTTGGCCAGGCTCGGTGGCTCAGCCTGTAATCCCAGCACTTTGGGAGGCCAAGGCAAGTAGACTGACCAAGCCCACAGGTTAGAGACCAGCCCAGCACCTTGGCGAGACCTCGTCTCTACAATAAATCAAAAATTAGCCAGGCATAGTATCACACACCTGTAGTTCTGGCTGCTTGGAAGGCTGAGGGGGAAGGATCGCCAGAGCCCAGTGGGTCGACGCTGGGATGGCCGTGAGCGCGCCACTGCACTCCAGCCTGGGTGACAGAGTGAGATGCCAACTCAAAAAAATAAATAAATAAAAATCAAAAGTGCAACCTTGAATGCCCAGGATTAGAACCAATTTAGGAGCTGTTCCAGATCCCATCAAATCATGTCTTGTTAAAATGACCATCCTACCCTGACATCTCAAGAGATCATGAGAGTCTCCACCCGACGCCTTACTCCCCTCCCCAGAGCTGCTGCCTACCAAAGTTGAGTCATTCACTGTTCCCCCCAAAAGATGACTCTTCCAACAGATTCAGTTCTTCCCCTCCTTCCTCATTAATTAGTCTTGTCTGAAAGTTAGTGGAAGAGCTGATGAAAACCCATGACATGACATAGCTGAACTACATCCCTATTTATCTGTTCATTCTCAGTAAGTAAATTTAGCAGCTTATAAAACATTCCAATAAAACTGGTAATCAACCCACCACCACACAATAAACACAAATAAAAAGAAACAGTGATAATTCCTCAGTACTCCCAATATTCCCCCTAATTTATTACCATTGTGTTCATCTCTGTTTTCCCTTAGTTAAAGATCCAAGATATTAAGCCTTGCTCGGTGCGGGTCACTATATTTCTCTCCATTTTTTCCCCATGACCTTGGCACATGGACCTTTCTAATGTTCTCCATCACTCTTTCTGTGGTGTTTATCATCGACAGCACTCATAGTTACAGAAGTACCACTTATTGATCAGACTCTATGGCAGGTCTCATGTTTTATATTTATTTAATCCACACAACAAATGCTTTATACTTATTTAATTCACACAACAGGATTAGGTAAAATCGTTCTCTATGCCAGGCACTGTCCAAACATTACTTCTGTTACAATGCCCATTTTGCAGAGGGTGAAACTGAATCCTTAATAGGTGAAATGCTTTGCCTAAGTTCACACAGCTCTTAAGCAGCTACTGAGGAGGCCAGAATCCAGAATCCAAGCAGCTGGGCTCTGAGTTTGCCCTCTTAGCCACTCGGCTTCACTGCCTAAAGGACTAAGTCTCAAGAGGGGCCCAGTGTAGGAGGACCCCAACATATGAAAAGACAATTTAAATTTTTGAAAGAAAATCTCTTGCCTGATGAAAACCTTCTCTTTGGAGCCCAGCATACCCCACTGCAGCAGTGCATCAATTCTTGGTGATTCTAGCACCCCCAAGGTGTTACGGAGATTTCCCTTACTTTCCAGGACTCAGACCAACTCACATCCCCCCAACAAAGAATGTTAGCCAGAAAAATGCCAATCTGCATCTGCTATTTTAAGCAGAGAATGTATTGTAAGTTGTTACTTGGTCTGCCACACCCCAGTCTTCAGGAAAGTTGCCTTCTCTCCAATGAAGTTTCCCTTCATTGAATGTGAGCTGACATTCAGTTGTTTCTGAACTCATTTGCTTTGAAATCCATAGTCACATGTTATCTGGACCAGCCACTTTTTAAGCCTCAGGCCTTCCCTGTTGTTTAGGTCGCACTGTTGTTCACATATCTTAGCATAACACAGCTCTCATTTAAATTGCGTGGCACCAATATTCTGCCTTCATGATTAGGTCTATGTCTGGGGGAACTTACCAGGTATAGCACATGGAGTAAAAGGAGACACGTAATCAGGAAAATTGGAGAAGTTAAGACTAATTGGGTCGTCTCCTTAGCTCCTGTCTTTGGAGGATAGCTTCCTTTGGCGTGGGACTTGCAATTCTCTGATTTACTCTTAAATGCCCACCAGGACCCCTATCATTTCTGGGGTATTTATTCACACACATGATGATGTCCTAACTCTAATGGCAGAGTAGAGCAGTCTAGACTGGCAAACACAGACAGAAAGAAAAATCTCTGTCATGTTTATGTAATGCTGAGAATGTCTCAGAACTCTTTAGCATGGTGAAATTTTTAAACGCTGGGAGTTCCTGCTATGACACATGCAAACTGATTACTAAGGGAGAGAGAATGAGGGAACCCGAGATTCTTAAAAATAAACAGTCCCCCATCTGGGATGAGTTGGGTATGGATTTGCCTGTAGCTAAGTGTTGAACTAAATGACTTCTGAAATCCTATCCAGCCTCTTTATGCCATAAAGAATCATAAAGAGAAACTAATTAGGGTGTTTGCTGGTTTATTAGGATTGCTGATATGCCCCAGCTTTAAGAATATCTG